TGGAACTCGAACGCATTCCACTCACTCATTGTCCACTTCAATTGCCTTTGTAAAAAACGTGTTGATTACTGATATTTGCAAAGCGGCCACCCAGGCATCCACAGACACTTTTAGCCGACACTATGGCATTACCCACGATGAGGCATCATGTGCTCTACTAGGACACACTGTCCTATCGTCCTTGGTACACATCACTCTGAAGCCTCAGCCTTCCTTCTAGGGGCACTGCTGTAAAGTCACCTACAGGTACACTACTCAAAGAAGAAGAGAAGGTTACTCACCCGGGGCAGTAACTAAGGCTCTTCGAGATGTGTGTCCCTATGGGTGCTCCATTACCTGCTCTGGAGTTCAAATGTAGACTCTGCGGTGGAAAAGGAACTGAGGTCAGTTGGACCTCACAGCACGAGAAGTGGAGGAGCGCATGTGCGGCCCAATGGGCATGGCTACCAAAGATCTCCGATCCTAGGTACAGGAGGCACTCCTGCACCTACAGTGGAGCACCTGTAGGAACATACATCTTGAAGAACCTCAGTTACTGTACAGGGTGTGTAACCTCTTTTTCTCAGGCTAAGATCTGATTTCCGCAGCATTCAAGTAAATATTTAAACTATTTTAGCCAGCCAGTTTTCTAGTCCACTGATTTGCTTTTTATGTTTGACTTTTCATCAGCTATTTTCTCTTTGAACGCTACACTGAGCATACAACAATGATATTCTCATTGGGAATGTTTATAGCAGGGGTAGGCAACCTATGGCACGCCTGCTGAAGGCGGCACGCGAGCTGAGTTTCAGTGACACTCACACTGCCCGGGTCCTGGCCACCGGTCCGGGGGGCTCGGCATTTTATTTTAATTTTAAATGAAGCTTCTTAAACATTTTAAAAACCTTATTTACTTTACATACAACAGTTTAGTTATATATTATAGACTTATAGAAAGAGATCTTCTAAAAACATTAAAATGTATTACTGGCACGCGAAACCTTAAATTAGAGTGAATAAATGAAGACTCGGCACACCGCTTCTGAAAGGTTACTGACCCCTGGTTTATAGCATTGATTTTTAAGTATGCTTTTTGACCTAGCATTAATCTGTAATTAGTTCCAATTAGCAGGAAACCTGAAATTCTTTGTCAAGGTTAAAGTGTCTTTAATTTTTCTCAGTTTTAAAGTTAGTCTCGGAATATCTGTCAGTTTCTATGTTGTTACTTTGAAGTTGGTATACCACCTTCATATATGAGCCTGCCAAAATCATGAATCTTGCCAGACCCCGCACGTGCTGCTGAAATTCCCAGTAGAATATATTAAACCTCTATACAGAGACTCAGTGTGACATTAGATCTAAATTGAGTTTTGAGAGCCCTAATTTCACTGGTCTACAATTTTTGAGAAGTTGTCTGCTTCAGAGATAAAATGTGCTATTTATTATGTATTTTGATGTGCTGAATTCAAATATGACAATTAAAACAACTGGCTACTGTTTCAAAGATATTTAAGTTTTTACATTTTATGTCTATGTATATTGTGTAGATAGAGTTTTAATCATAAATTGTAAACCTAGGGCTTTTCATGTGTTTATGGTTGCTTTACATGATAATATTTCACCTGTCCTGTGTATGTAACACTTCAAAAATCAGCAAAAGGGTTATATAACTAAAATGTATTATGAAACAAAAGGCAAAAAACTATTTATGTACATAGTTTAGTCCTATTCAGTGTCTACTCAGCGCTTCTTGGCTTGTCTCTTGTATTCATTAAATGGAGCATCTCTTGTCACTGTCCAGCAATAGTCTGCAAGCATTGATGGGCTCCATTTGTCCTGATAGCGTTTCTCCATTGTTGCAATGTCCTGGTGAAATCGCTCGCTGTGCTCGTCGCTCACTGCTCCGCAGTTCGGTGGGAAAAAAATCTAGATGAGAGTGCAAAAAATGTTTCTTTAGTGACATGTTGCAACCAAGGCTTTTGTATGCCTTGAGGAGGTTTTCCACCAACAACCTGTAGTTGTCTGCCTTGTTGTTTCCGAGAAAATTTATTGCCACTAACTGGAAGGCTTTCCATGCCGTCTTTTCCTTGCCATGCAGTGCGTGGTCAAATGCAGCATCTCGAAGAAGTTCACGAATCTGAGGACCAACAAAGACACCTTCCTTTATCTTAGCTTCACTTAACCTTGGAAATTTTCCACGGAGGTACTTGAAAGCTGCTTGTGTTTTGTCAATGGCCGTGACAAAGTTCTTCATCAGACCCAGCTTGATGTGTAAGGGTGGTAACAAAATCTTCCTTGATTCAACAAGTGGTGGATGCTGAACACTTTTCTTCCCAGGCTCCAGTGACTGTCGGAGTGGCCAATCTTTCTTGATGTAGTGGGAATCTCTTGCACGACTATCCCATTCGCAGAGAAAACAGCAGTACTTTGTGTATCCAGTCTGCAGACCAAGCAAGAGAGCAACAACCTTCAAATCGCCACATAGCTGCCACTGATGTTGGTCATAGTTTATGCACCTCAAAAGTTGTTTCATGTTGTCATAGGTTTCCTTCATATGGATTGCATGACCAACTGGAATTGATGGCAAAACATTGCCATTATGCAGTAAAACAGCTTTAAGACTCGTCTTCGATGAATCAATGAACAGTCTCCACTCATCTGGATCGTGAACGATGTTGAGGGCTGCCATCACACCATGGATGTTGTTGCAGGCTACAAGATCACCTTCCATGAAGAAGAATGGGACAAGATCCTTTTGACGGTCACGGAACATGGAAACCCTAACATCACCTTCCAGGAGATTCCACTGCTGTAGTCTGGAGCCCAACAGCTCTGCCTTACTCTTGGGTAGTTCCAAATCCCTGACAAGGTCATTCAGTTCACCTTGTGTTATGAGGTGTGGTTCAGAGGAGGAGGATGGGAGAAAAGGTGGGTCCTGTGACATTGATGGTTCAGAACCAGAAGTTTCATCCTCTTCCTCTTCCTCGTCTGACTCAAGTGAGAATGATTCTGGTGCATCAGGAACCGGCAGTCCTTCTCCGTGGAGTACTGGGTGTATAGCTGATAGAATGTTTGGATAATACACAGTCCACTTTTTCTTCTTTGACCGGCCTTTCCCAACTGGAGGCACCATGCAGAAGTAACAATTGCTGGTATGATCCATTGGCTCTCTCCAAATCATTGGCACTGCAAAAGGCATAGATTTCCTTTTCCTGTTCAACCACTGGCGAAGATTTGTTGCACAAGTGTTGCAGCATATGTGGGGGGCCCACCTCTTGTCCTGATCTCCAATTTTGCAGCCAAAATAAAGGTGGTAGGCTTTCTTAACCATAGTGGTTATATTGCGCTTTTGTGATGCAAAAGTCACTTCACCACAAACATAGCAGAAGTTATCTGCACTGTTCACACAAGTACGAGGCATCTCTGCTCACTTTGGCTAAACAGAAATGTGTCCCTTTGCAAAATCAAACCCTGACAAATGAGAGCACGACACTGTATGATTTCTAGAGCTGATATAGGGCAATTTGTTCAGCAGAGTGATGTAAGCTTCGTTATGATTGCATCATCCATGACTTCTAGGAATAACATGATGCAATTCATATCCTATATGACGCAATACCAGCTTCAGATTGCATCATTCATTGTTTTGCCTAAAAAGCAAGTACTGTCCAAACCCATTCACAGATTTATTCATAGATCTGGTTTAAATTGAGATCCCTTCCCTTTATAACTCACTTATCCTCCGCCATTCCCAAGTCAAGGGTTGTATATACTGACCCAATAGCATATCTTGAAAACTAGAGCCAATCAACAATTTTAAGCATCATTTTCGTTCTCAGTGACCCAGAATTAGTAAAGTTTGACTACATTTATTTCAGAAGCATTTTGGCTGTAGAGCAGTGTTTTTAGGGTAAAATACCTTTTTTTAAGCTCAAGTAATTATTCTGTGATCCTTAAAGAAAATAAGCAAATTTTTAAAATATCTTATGTGCATATGTATATAAAATATTGTGTTATCATTGGGGGTAAAGGCCTGGAGTTGTTATACTATAGTAAATCAACAAGACACAGAGACCCCAATCCTGCAATGTGTACCACCACGTGAGTAAACTGCTATATTGGCATGTAGTCTCAGTGAAGTTTAATGGGGTCCTGCCTGGGCACAGTTATCCATCCACACATTACATCTTGCAGTATGAGGATAAAAGTTAGTGTGGAAATTGTTGAAAGCCAATCAATTGTCAGAAACAGTTAAGTAGAATTTTTGTGTTTTTTCCTTTTTTCCCTGTGGTATTTGACAAAAGTCTTGCTCACTGCCAATGAAAATATTGGATATGTCTTGGAAATGCTTTGAATGAAGAAAAAATCCTTTCCTATAATAACTTCAACCAGTCAAAACTTTTCAAGCCCTTGTATAATTCCTCTCATTTGTACCCAAACTTTTTGTTTTAATAGTAGCCATAAATCATGACATGAAATTATACAAGTATAAGTTTCATAATGGAAACTTGATGATTTGATCTGTGCTCTATTTTAGTATTCAGTCCCACAAGGATTTTTTGTTATAAATAGATAGTAGGTCTTATTGTGGCCTGGAATTTTTTTAACTTCTGGAACAAACTACAGTATGTCCCTCTAAAGCTAGTGACACTTTATTTTTCTTTTTGCATATTACTTTTGCTGTGGGGACATATTATGCAACCAGAGTATTTTGGATAGTTTGGTTGCAATGAATTTCAAATGAGCCAAAAACAAAGACTGAGCTCAATTGCACCCTTCATAGCATCTTTATTGCTGTGGGAGAATGAGTATTTATACAGTGCTTTTTCAATGAAATACAAACACTGAAAATGTACATGGGTCTCATAATTTTTATTACTTTATATAATGTAGCTTCTAAATGTAAAAGTACATTGATTTGAAAATGGCTTAATGAAAAATTTTACCCCAAAAAATCACAAACAAAGTTACGGTGTTTAAGATAAAAATGTACTGATTTGAACAATCCTTCTTTTTAATAGGAGACAGATGACTACAGGTATTTTGACCCCAAGATGTTGCGAGGCAGTGACAGGTGAGTTTCCCATGATTTTTTTTCTTTTTACCTTCTATATGTTGGAACAGCTAATGTAAGAATTTTGTACTTAATTTGGATCATAACATAACTGCATTAGTCCCATTAATTTGTAGAAAGTATTCTCTTACAAGAGTACTTTCTGCAGAATCTTTTGCAACTACTTTCTGTATTTTTGTGCACGTACATAATTCTTTAAATCACAAATATACTGCTTTTTTAGAAGGAAGGCATGAATTTTAAAAATATTTTGGGGTTTTGCTCACCATAAGTTTTATTGTTTGGCACACATTTTTTGTCTTTTAAATTCAACTTTTCCCTACTTCTTGATTGCTTGAAATGATAGTCACAACCTCTAAGTCAGGCAGCTCATGTTAGAGGAATTTGCAGCCAAAAGCAATTCCGTGGAGTCTGGACTCACCAGAGAGATTTCTGCAGAGTGCCTTTGATTTAAATCATGATTTAAATCAATAGTCAGGAAGACTCGATTTAATCATGGATTTCTACATAAAAGTGCATTCTTGTTGGTTCTTATAACTAATAGATATTCTTCACAACTCAGATAAATGTAGATTTCATTTTTAGAAGGTACACACTATGCATTTTTTAAGTGATTTATTTTGAAAACTTTTCAGAAAATGAATGATTGTTTGGTTATTTAATTTACCAAAGGTAATTGAAGCAGGTATTTATGAAGTCATTGGGAGGTGAACTATCTCCAATTCAACAGGTTAATCATTAGTATTTGGAGGATTTTCTTGCCATGCTGTATTAGGAGGAGGACATCACCAGACAGACATTTAAATTGTTTTATTTAACAAAAACAACGATGTTGTGTGTTCTGGATTTTTTTCTTCAACAGCAAACATATAATATTTTAACAAAACAAGCATATGAATTTTTGAATTTAAGCATTCAAGTTTTTTTAAATCAGGTTTGTTTTTGTTAAAATTGTTTTTAACTAAAATAGTTAAATGAAATATTTTTTTCTTAAAAACAAAAATTAAATTGACTGTGTCAGCCAGGTCAACGTGAGAAACTTAAAATATTGGCTTCTGCAGCTAACTCAGTCGTCTCCACCTTCATTTTCCTGTTTGTTCATAATCTGGAAAAGAAAAACAAGCTTTCCTGCTTTTTCAGTTCCCAAACGATTTCTCAATTTGGAATGAATTAGTCCAAAGGAAGAAAATACTCTTTCTACACCGGCAGAAGAAGCTACTGCTGTTAAGTGAGGTTATCACTTCAACAGTCTCTGAATCAAAGTGTTTAAGTGACTTCCACCAGTTCACTAGTGTGACTTTCTTTAAAACATCATCAGCAAACATATTTCTTGAATGGTTCACCCTTAGCTCTGAAGTTTATTATAATTGGCATTATGGAGGGATGATTGCTGGATGTCCATGTCATAGCCAACTCCTCTTCTTCAGCAGTTAAGGTTTGACCCTGGTACTGAGTATTGAAAATATTTGCAAGAAAATGAGCTGGAGATAGTGCTTGTTCCATTAGTTTTTTTTTAATGCTTGTAATTTAACTCTGTCATTGCATATTTCTCTTTTTAAGATCTCACTCAGTTCCTTGCAAATTTCAACTGCGTCAGCAATAAAACAGCTATTTCCCTGCATTTTGTTCAAGGCTACAGAAATAGGCTTCAGGGTACTCAGCATGTGTTCAACATTTCTCTTAAGCCCAATGTTGAGAACTTTGGCTGTGACAAGCAACAGAGAGTCCTGTGGCACCTTTAAGATTAACAGATATATTGGAGCATAAGCTTTCGTGGGTGAATACCCACTTCGTCAGGCGTCTGAAGTGGGTATTCATGCGTGAAAGCTTATGCTCCAATACAACTGTTAGTCTTAAAGGTGCCACAGGACTCTCTGCTTTTTACAGATCCAGACTAACATGGCTACCCCTCTGATACTTGGCTGTGACAGTGCCATCTATTTTTTCCCAATTTTCTTTCCAAACTCTCATTAGATTAGGCCAGTTCTTGATATAGTGCTCGAAACAGTCCACTACTGAGTTCCATCGCACGTCTTGTGGGAGAGCTAGCTTGGTTCCTCCCACTTTTTTCAGAGCAGCTGCTGCAAAGTGGTTGTTACGGAAATATTTTGCAATTTCAACAACATTAGCCTTTATTTCTGGAACAGTGAAGTCTTTGGCTAGGAGGTGCATCAAATGAGCATTGCAACCATATGTTATTAGCTTGGGATTCTCTTCACTCTCTTCTAAATAATTTCTTCTCATCTTGCATACATTTGCAGCATTGTCTGTGACCAAGCTGTGTACTAGACATTTGAATTTTTTTCAGTTTATCACTTTTACCGCTACTTCTTGTAAGTATTCTGCTGTGTGTGCATTTCCTGATGTATCAATTGTTTCTGTGAGGAAGACATTCCCTTCTTCTGTTGTCACACAAGCACATACAACAGGATCATTGTGGACATTGCTCCATCCATCAAGACTCAGGTTAACAATTTTACCCTCTAGACCTTTTGCACACTGCTCAATTTCTCTTTCATACACTTTATCCAGCAATTTGCCTGCAACATCTGCTCTGTTGGGTGGACTGTATCCTGGTCTTAATGACTGAACCATTTTAATGAAGTGTGGGTTCTCAATCATACGGAAAGGAGAGTTTGTTGCATAAACAAACTGGGCAATTTTTTCATCAATTACCTCTTTTTGTAATCTGCTGGTTCTCATCACAAATTTATCTATGGTTGTTTCTGGATGATGGAGATTTCTTTTTTTCTTTTTGCTACAGGTGATATACAGTGGATATGTGACAGACACGATGTGACTGACACTATCATTGGCAGATAACTCTGAAACTATAGAAAATTATAGGGATCTTGAAGGTGGATAGTCTTCAGAATCCTGTATGTTGAGGATGGATTCTCCTAAACAAAATAAGTCAATGCAGTTATTTAATTATTATTACCATACTGCTCATTTAGTATTACTCACTGCATTCACTGACACTCAGTACTACTTTAAAGGTGAAATTGTAAAAGGAGGATCTGCCTATTTCAGCTATTTATTTTTTATCACAGCTGCATCTAAAATGATAGTACCATAGAGTAACAACTATATTTTTTGCTCAAACATGAGAATTCAATAGTAGTACAGAAGGAAGACAGGCAGTCCTTAAGAAAGAAGAATGAAATAAAAAAGTTTACCAACCTGAAGATCCTGCACTTCTCGTGATATTGTTTCATTCAGGCAAACAGGCCTTGCGTTTCTTTGTTGCTCTGTTTGCATTTTGCATGCATGCCTATCTTACCCACAGGTAGAGGAACTTCATTAAACTATTCCCAATCTGGGTCTCTTTTACAGCCTGTTGCCATTATAGGTTTTTCCTTCTAGTGAGAGAGTGGTATGGTAGATCTCAAATCAATGAAGGCTGCACTCAGAAAGACCTCAAGACTTCTGGAATATGCTGCTCAAACAGTTTCACTTTTGTTTCTACTGCCTGTCCCTCCTTTCTCACATTTATCTCCAGACTGTGTACTAGACATGTCCAGATCTATTCCGCCCCCAACAATTCATTGAACTTTTTGAAACTTTACACTTTGAGAGAAAGGTAAGGGATTGACTCTGTGTACACAAATTTGCAGAGGGACAGACAATAGGGTTGAGGTCTGTTATTTCTCACCTCTATATATTTATTTATTTTAAAACATTTTTGCTTTTAACAAGCATGTTATCTCTGGAGACACAAATTCACAGTTTGAGAACTGCAAAACTAAGCATCTCTTATGGTATCTTCTAGACTGAGCACTGAGTCCCATTGGGTAGATAGAAAGATTAACCTAAATAATCTATACAGAAGCCCCTGGAACCTCATAAGATTGGGTCCCTAATCCATGAGCTGTTGGAACTCATTTACAAAACTTTTCTTAAACACTACATGAATATATTGTCTCATACTATAGAATTAGAATTTATAATCCCTATTCCATGAGGGGATATCTTTGAGCTGTAATGTATCTTAATTAAAACTATCTTTAGATTGCTTTTTTCCTCAAAAAGCATTTTATCAAAAAAATCCAATTTAAATAAAAAAAATCCGATTTTTATTTTTTTAATAAATCATTGATTTGTATCCACCTTGGATTTCTGTAGTACTGCATTTGAAACACTCATTCCACTGACTGAGAATGCTGCTAATAGCTTACAAATAGTCTGCACAGATAAAGGAATGGGTCCTAATGTTTAGCAGCAGGATTTCTTGTGATACTTTTTTACTCTGGAGTGTTAGAACCATTTACAAAAGTACTGTTTGATCTCAGAATTTTTCATACTTAACTTCTTAAAGTCATAGGTCATTAACAATGAACTTAAACTTCCCTACCTGTTATTCAAGAGGTAAATATTTTCATCCATTTTTAACCTGAAATTTTGATGCAATTGTACAGTAGTTCTATAAACTACATTGGTAGTAACATATAGATTTCTTGTTTGAGTGTGAAATGGAGAATTATCTAGACATTTTGCAAAAAGAAAAAGGAAGAAATAGTAGCACCTACAGCAAAAATGTCATAAACTGTTTCTTGACCTGCTACCTTTATGAATATCTGTAGCTGATAATCTCAGCAATAGCACTCTCTAGAAATAGAGAAGATCTTTGGTTTTAATGTACTTTAAACAAATGGCCAACACTGTCCTTGGCCATTTGCATTCAATAAGAATTTCAGCTGTCCCCTTACCAGTGTTCTTCACTCCTGACAAGCACATTTACAATAATGAAAAATGATTTTCAGAGTATAAGTATCTGTTTTATACATTGCACATGCACTTTCAAAACTAGCTTTATGGATTAAAAATGAGCGCTGAAAGCTATCAAAGTTAAAATTGGCAGTGCTGTATATTTTCCTTTTTTAAATATAGCAGCATCTTTCAGCCTGTTTTATTTTGCTATTGTGAAACATCTGGTTTGAGTGCAGTTTTGTCTGTGAAACTATTAAAAAATAGTTTAACTTACTAAAATCAAGCCAAACTTGATATTTTTTTTTTGCTCTTTCAAAAATGTGCATTGATTTTAGTACCTAATTTGCACCCACAGGTATCACAGTTTCTGTGTGTTCATATTACAATTTGTGAACTGATGTGCTTTCATGCATCATCATACATGCAGTGCAGATGCAAGGTTGTGTGCACATAATTCAGAAAAATTAGTTCTTGGAGACCACTTCTTGTCTCTTTCTTCCATAAGGCATGTAGGAACAATCTTAAGCATGTTATGTATATGACTAGAGGGGGCTACAAATTTTACTCTTAAGTGAATAAAGGTTCCAACTCATTTTAAACCAGGTCTGATGAAGGAGACAGCAGAATAAATATGGCTGCATAGGCTTTTGTTTGTAGTCATCCTTATCTTTTGAACAGTACTACACAGATCAAACAATATTCTTTCAACAGCTGAAAATGATCTAAGAAACTAGTCCAGCTAGTTGCCAAAAACTCAACTTTAAAATGTTGATGTTCAGTATTATGATTACTGAAAGGCCATTATTAATTTGTCTTTGAGGTATTCCTTAGCACAAAACTAATTTCATTCCAACATACCCTTTTGCTGTGTGGACTATTGGAGTTTCTACTTATTACTTTTAAAAGTGTACAGGAATTATGTTAACCTAATCCAGTCACAGCACAGCTAAATTTTTCTTCCCACATTACACCTCTGTCAGTATTTGTGAGACTTGTCCAAAAGGATGACGTTGAATATATGTGAATGTATAGATCATATTTAAATAAGGGAGAACTATATTAGCAACAATGTAAATGAAGAGGCTACTGCATTGATGCCAGAATGTCAGTCCACCTGTAGTAAAGGATTGATTCCAGTGTATAGGAGAATGAGCTTCTTCTGAGGAATGGCAATATTGATTGAACTGTTTTCTACCAATTTTGAGGGATTTGGGAAGAATTCCTGAAAAGAGAGAGTGAGAAATCAATTCATTCTTTTCTTCTTTTATCCTAATTTGTTCTTGCTTTGTCTTATATTTCTTTCCTCAAACCTCTCTTGGAATCATTATAACCTGTAAACTGTGGATTCTGAAAACTACATTATCTGCATGTTTGTGATTCCATTGTTTTTGGTTAGGGCTCTTGTTCCTTTCTGTGGTGTTTGCGTATTTCCAGACCAAAAGACAGAGGGTTACTGTATAGTTGTAAAAAAGGACATTTATACAAAACATTATTAGAAGCCTATAGTTATTGAATGTATGGTCAACATTCCATAAACTGTGCCCCTGTATCACAACCCTCCTATGGGCCAGCAAGGGGCATGTTTGATTAAACCCTGGGGACATAAGAGTGAGGAAAGGTAGGGTAGACTCTGCTACTCCAGAGCCATCTCTTTCCTCCCTCCACCTTCCCTTGCAATGTACAGGGAAGGAAGAGATTTCTTCACTTTCCCAGCTGCCTATTTGGTAGGCAATTGGGGGAGTTGATTGATTATCTTGTGTGCTTTCCCCACCTTTCCCTGTCCCTGAAGCCCTCTAGACATGTAGCAGCCTGTCCTGTAATGGAAATCTAGTTTGGACTGCCTTTCCAACATGCTGAGAGTCTGATCACATCACCAGATTTAGGGATCAGGATTGAATTTTTTCCCCCAGGGCAAGAGTCACAAGATGCCCAGCTGTTGTTTTTGCCTTCCTTGCATCATTCTGGAGGCCTGGTTTCAGGTTAACAAAGAGTAAGGACAGGAATTTAAAAGTTGTAAGTTTAAAAGTGGAGTTTATAAGTTTGTGAAGCTGGTGTCCAGTGTGGATAAGAGGCTCAAAGAGACAACTCCCAGAAATCAGCTTGAGCAAGAGACTCAGGGAATAACTTGTAGGACCTATTAGCCTGCAGGAAGAAGGGGAGACCATAAATTTTTGCAGAATGAGGTACCCTTCATGTTTACCCCCATCCCCTTTTATGAAGAGAGGGTAAGAAGATTATGAGGTGAGCTGAATCCTAGGAATTAGGTGGAAGGGGGCCAATCATGAATATTGGTTATTTGGCCTGGGGGCCATTTAATATACACACTGGGACTGAAGTAAAGGCTAAGAGTTTCTCTCTCTGTCTGACACAGACACACACACCATAAAGTTGCAGCCTTCTGTTTTAAAATCCATCCCTTTATCTGTTATGTTCTCCTTTGTGCATTGATCAACCTGCTTACATTCACCCAACCGCTGCCTGAGTATATTTTCAATATATAAATCTTCATAAACCACTACCCAAAAAGTGTGATCTACTAACTCAGCCACACTCTATTCCTCAGTTCTCCTGCCCATTTCAGAGATACCAACATCTAGACTTTATTTCCAGAGGCTCAGTGATCCAAGTTTCCAGCAACCCACAGTGATCCAGAGGTCACATTGTATCTTATTCTCAATATTCAGAAATAGCTTCCATTATTCTGGTGTGAGACAACCTAATTTGTCCCATAAATCTTCCTTTGATGGACTGGAAAACCTGTTAACCCTTCTAATGTGAATCAGAAACCCAATTTGTCTGAGAGGAAGGGTCACAGATTTGACTGATTTCCATGAACACTAGTGATTTCTCACAATTTATTAGTTCCACTAGCTGCATCACCACTTACAAAATCCAAGGTGCTCTCACCTGTTCACACGTTACTAAAAAACAAAGCCAAAATTCACTAGTCTTCCAAAACTGAAGAAATAAAAATTTTATATATTTGAGCTAATTGAATGTATGAATGAATGAAATTTCTATATCAAATCTTTTTTTGAGAAATATGATGTTTAAAGTCTTTTTATAACTCTCCATTAAAAAAAACAAAATACCACCAACTATTAGAATGTACTCTGTATATTTTGTGCATATACATATACTTGTTTAATATTTTTATATTTAGATCAGTAGTTAAAACCCTAACTATTCCATTTATAATGCAGTTCATTTTTATTACAGCTCAGTTCCAAGAAACAAAAATCCATTCCAGGAGGTAAGTCATGTAAAAATCATACTTTTTCCAAATCAGGGTCTATGTATTATAGTATCAGTATTTTTTAAAGTTCCAGTCATTTCATGGTCGTGAATTCAGAAAATGGGAGAGTCTGTTTGCAAAATCACTAGTCTAATTATATTTATTATTAATTATACTTAGCAGTTATGCTGGAGAGCTCCTTTCATCTTCAAAGGGTTGTACAAGCATTAACTACTCCTTACAGTACCCCTGCAAGGTAATTATTAGTGATTTAATGATAGAGCCATAATTAGAACGCAGCAATTTTAAACTCCCAATCCTATACTTAGTCCTTTAGAACACAATGCCTCTCTAAATTTAGTCATCCATAAGTCCTTTCACATAGCTAAATACTGCAAAACAGTATTTGTAAGCAATAGTTCCAATAACAACTCAAATTGTATTTAATCATTTGCTGCCTTTTTAATTCATTTTCCACAAACATTTGTGGAAAGTGGTGGGATTTTTTTATTTTCACGGTGATGTTTTCTAAAAACAAAAATCTCATGAGTATTTATTTTAACACATTCATGCTCAGATTCGAGGTGAAAATGCTTGCCCAGCCATCTTGAAATGTCTTTGGTTTCCCTTCTCTTTTGGTTTGTATTCACTTGGAGACCAAAAAAATACTATGTTACTTGAGTAACCATACATCATAAATAGCAAATAGTCAAAGTGAATATGTTGCAAATAACTTATAGGCTGAAATATGTTCACATAAAGTATTCAAATAATTTTGAACATTGAACAAATTAGTAAAAATCCATCAGTTCATGGATAATTCATGAATAGGGGGAAAAAAGCTAATAGTTCATCCACCTTTACAGTTTTCTTGAACATAGCCCAGAAAATGTTACTATTCTTAGGTGGTTTTTAGATTATTAAACCTTCTAATATTAAATGAGAATCTAAAAGAAAATAAAAAATGGTTAAAATATCTTAATAGTAACAGCAGTGTTAGAAGATAGAGCATCTTTATCAAATTAATTCTTAACCTTCCACCAGTGCCAAAACAACGATTAAAAATACTTCCACTAATGGTTATCTCAGTAAAAATTAGTAACTCATAGACTCAGAGTATTCCATTTTCTTCTATAAAGAAATATTTGAAACGTCAAAAGCTTCTGAAAAGCTAAATTAGATAAGGAAAAGTTTACAGCCCTGTTTTGTGTTTGAAGCCAGTGGTTTTCTGTCCCCTAAATGATCGTAATTGCAGTATTGGTAATTCAAGTAATATCCTTAGTAATAGATCCTTTAAGTAGAATTAGGTTTGTAAGATTAACAGGTGGCCCAGATTATTTATTGTTGTTTGCTTTTGAAAACTCCATGTTAAAAAAAAGTTGCTGTTTAATAAAACTGGTTTACATCTTATTTTTTTTTATTAAACTCCATATACTACAGGAATTTGATTGCATATTCTAATTATCTCCTCTTCTATGTGTTTGTATTTTAGGCAATTGTTTTTGTAGTTGGAGGAGGCAACTACATTGAATATCAAAATCTTGTTGACTACATAAAGGTTAAGTACATTTTGCCAATTATATCCTATAATTAATTGATTATAACTAATTGTAGCCTATGTAACTTGTCTTTTCAATCTTGTAGGAGCTTGTTATATTAAGTTCAGCTGAAATGCTTATGTTTATATACAACCTGAAAAAAATTATGTAGAAAAAACATCAATAGCAAATTTGGTTTTTGGTCTTGAAATGGTGAATGCATATTAGCTCTGACTGCAGTTTTGTTATCACTAAACTTGCAATATAGCTGAGAGTTAGACTACTATATTACATTCCAAATTGTTTCACCTTAGAGTAATGTTTTACATGATAGAGAAATTGAAATCTGTAAATGTAGATGTGATGAATTGATCATTAACCTCATTTCTCTTTGCTGTTCAGGTGCAAGGAAAAAGTATTTTCTAGATAAAATGTTGACCTCATCACTCTTTACAGATGAAAAGGCTCAAAGAGTAACTGTAATTGTAGAGGAATTACTCAAATATACATTGCAGGCAATGTCAAGAGTTCTTCTCAACTGACTGTTGAACATCATCATGGGTGCTTTGAGTCACAGTGTAGTTTTCATTTACAACACATCACTACTAAAATAATATTTGCTGCCTAGTAATTGTCAGAAACATCCAGGGAACAGAGATCTTTATACATAACTGTACTGCCCTGTCAAATAGCTTTGATACTGTCAGCTTTGCTAGTCACTAGGAAATATGAAGCTCTAGGTAAAAGACCCTGAATTATATGAAATCATCATATAATATGGTTGGAGTATTCTGTGTAGGACATATCCAATCCCCATCACATTTGATACTGTTTCACAACATTGTTTGATTAATTTTGATTGATAGTAGTTAGATAAAGCAGTTGTCACCACCTTTGAGTAAAGATTAGATGCTACTCAGGAATATCCTTCAGTAACTTTAATCTGCATGTGTCAAAAGCTCTTGTTAGCAAACTGCTCTTCGTGCATGACTCTGCACTTGTAGTCTACTCGGAGCAAGGCCGGCAGATAATGGCATCTTGTTTTACCACAGCCTCATTTTGGTGTGACAGTTAAAGTTTCAAATGCTGAATATATTGCAAACACCAAACAGGCTGTTGAAACACACATCAGGATTAACAGTATAACAGTAAGTGTGGTGACATATACCCACCTTGGAAGAATCTTCACTAAAAAACCTATTGAAGTAATTTACCTAGAAAGCTTTATTGGATTGTTTGCATGATTGTGTGCAAACAGCATGACATTTGGCTTTGCCAAAGAACAAACTGTATAGTATAGTAGTGCTTTCCATCTGTACTATATGCTGTAAAGACATGGACTAGCTTTCAGTTGCTTGAGGTTGGAAAAGAGAATTTTTTTAAAAAAGTAACAGTACTGGTTCATGTTTGACTGCTGGAATACAGGCAATGCTGTTGAATGTGCATCTCAACTGGACAAGTAATGCCCTACAAGTTGTTGAGAAACAAACACCAGAACAACTAGTCTTTGGTGAACTAGTTGGTGGTAAACAGACATAAGGTGAATAAAGGAAATATTTTGAAGACACTAAAAAGAATGTCAGGATACTATAAACGACAGTTATAATAAATGGCAAATGAAGCTGTTTGAGGATAACTTCATCTTTGCAGTGAAGAGCCTGGACTCCTTCAGAAGGTTAGCAAGGTGGTTCTTTGTGGTATAACGTAAACTTAACTGACTCATTTTACATAAGACGTCTTGAATTGGCAAAGCAGATCTTTAGGACTCAGCCCAGTCACTTTCTGCAGAACTAGAGCACCATAGTGATTAGTTTACCAATACATTGTGTTCAAGGCTGTCTTCTCAAAAAGAAGCTAGAAACTAGTTTTCAAATAAAAGCTGAGATTCTCCTATATATTTCTACATACCTCAAATCAAGGGGAGGAGGCGCCACAACTAGGGGGTTTGCTCTGAAGGCTTTGAAAGAAAATAAACTGTGTATATTTTCTTCTTAGCTGATTGCTGAAGCCCGGCTAATACCAAAACTGGCAAGCCAACTACTGCTGCCAATCACTGGAGGGATTTGGGAGCAGTTGCTTCCCTGAGAGATTGCTTGTTTCAAGCCATGCTTAAGTCAATCTGGTGAGAGGATTGGGCTTCTGGCAGAAACTTCATTTTAGACACTTCAGTTTAAAGCAGTAAATGGGAACCCATCAAGTGAAGATCGCCACAAATGCTCCGAGACACTATTCTGTATGGTTATCAAATGAAAATGTGTTAAAGAGCAATCAGCAATCTTGAAAGGTAGAGTAGATTCTTAGAGATACACAGCATGTCAATCCACAGATCCTGTACACCCCTCTGCACCACCCCACCCCAAAAAAAGACAACTCATGTGAAAGGTGATGAGACAAATCAAGTACTCAAATCAGGTTTTCAGCTATTAACCCCTCATAACTGTGAGACTTTCCAGCCATTTTGGTGAATATTGTTGATTGCTATAAACACAATATTGTGTGTAGTTACCTTCATTTTCAAGAAGGAGATATAATTAGTAGGATGAACCAATGTTCTATTACTAAAGCTCCTGTTGGTGTGAATGTTTTGCTTTCTGTGTAATTCAGTACTGCATAGTAAAATTTGACCCAGATGCTTGTAGTAAATTGCACAGACCTCTCCAAAAGAAGACCAGAGTATTGTTGCCCATTTCAACAATATATTTTTATGGTTTCTCAAGACTGTGGAAAAACTATGGACTTTAGCTATGCACAGGTCCTAGGCAACCAAGCAAAAGATTAGTGTTCCTTCCCTTAGCAGGCAGTATCTCAGAAAACTTCTGAGAATGACTTCACGACACATTAAGCGGAGGTGGGAAAGGGTGTTGTCTGGCTTGTTGGGAAAGGTGTGTGGCCGCTTTAAGAGCTAGAAAGCCAGAAAGTGACTCGCAGTGCAGCTTCAGACTTGGTCAATGTGGGGATGCTGACCGATTTCCCCCCCAGGTGACCAGAAGAGAGGGAGGACTATTTAGGTCCACCGTCATGCAGGAAAAGCCCTCTGTGACCTTGACCAGGCAGAGTAACACCCACCCTCCCACCCAGAGATGTAGTTTATCATGATCCTCTGTGGGCATTACACTAGTAACTCCTTTCTTGGGGGCTGGGAAGGAATTTTTCCCTCACTGCCAGATTGGCCAAGGGCAAGGAGGGGGGGTTTCAGCTTACCCAGAACAAGGAGGGCCTAGTTGGGGTGAACATGAAATGGGGGTTAGACTACGATGTCACAAATCATTATGTCAGTGTGGGGCAGATGTCCAGTGCAGGTACTCTGTAGGGAAGGGATACAGTGATCAGATAAAATGAATTGGTAAGGATTTAGGGAGGTATTCTTTAAAGGAGTGGAAATGGGGTTCGGGCTTCCCATGGCTGGTACAGCAGGGAGCCAACCCACCCCCATTTATAGCCTCCCTTACTCCTTATTTGGGGGGAGGACTGGCAAAGTCCCAGCAGCAGGTTAGCTGGGCACCAGGATGAGTAAAAAGGGAGGGCTGACAGCAGTTCCCTCATCCTTAGTATATGTAAATTATTTTGGAATTACCTGCACTGTACACATTTATCTGTCGAGTACCCCCAGACATGTAGGAATAAAGTTGCGGACTAATTAAACCAGTGGTTCTCAAACATTTGTATGCAAGACAAATCAGATTCCTGAAAGGGGTACGGTAGTCTGGAAAGGTTGAGAGCCACTGAATTAAACCACATCCATGTCTCCTGTCCTCCTTCCAGCATAGCCAGACAAGGATTGTTCATCTCTGAGGAGAGGATAGCTTTGCCTCGCTCATCTTCTGATTTGCCTGTAGCAGCATTAACTAAGCTTCAAAAGAAGGTTAAAATCAACCCTCGTGGATTAAGGAGAATCACAGTAATCTGATGCATATATGGAAATGGAAGAAAAGGTTGCATAAGGTTAATTGGCATAAACACAGCTTTTTTCCTAGTATCTTTTTCAACATCATAAAAAAACAACTTGTGTTTTCTGTTGTAAAACTTTCTGGTCATAGGTTCTGCAGATTACTAGTCTTGATGATCTATTTAAAAGACAAAATTTTGTGCGTTGGGTATTCGTAATAAAACTCTTACTCGTAAGCCATTTTAAGGTACTATATCCCTGTTTACAAGACTGAATGGCATTAAGTCTAAGTCCTTACCTCTGTCAAGGAGTATGCTGTATCACAGGAGCTTTAGATCCAGTGTAGTTTTCCATATGACTTTACATTTAGATTTTGTTTGATTCCCATAAATGAGCTTGGAATTTAATCTGAAAATCAGTTAAGTTATTTTATACAGCTTGAAATACATCTCCAATAATTGTTTGCCTATAAAATCTTGATTTGAATGTCTCAACCAAGTACTGGATTTTAAATTAAGTACCTTGATCTTATATTTTACCAAGTACTGGATTTTAAATTAAGTACCTTGATCTTATATTTGATGATTAAACCACTGTGGTTAACTTTTTTAATATAAGCTTAATGTTTTATTTAAAATGATATATTTTTAGAAAATGTGTATGTTGGAGAGCTGAAGGATGACAGTTTTGTTCCATGGCAACTTTGGAGGTTTTGAAATGTTTCATTCTGCATTGGAATGAAAACAAAGCCTTATGTTTGTTTTTGAAAAAGCAAAATTGTCAAAATGTCCATTTCCCAGTCAAAATCTGAGCTGTTTGGTAAGGTGTGGATGTAGTCTGGTATTGAGGGCACTGGCCTGGGATGTGGGAGTCACAGGTTTAAGTCCCTGCACCTCCCTGATTCAGGGTTTTTCATCCTAGATTAATCAGACAGAGCAGGGACTTTGAACCAGGGTCTCCCATATCCCAAGCTAGTACCCTAAACATGAGGTTATAGAAAGATAGTCTCTCTCTCTCTGCCTCTCCCTCTACCTTTACAAAAAAAAACTTCATCAAAACTGATGTCTGTGTGAAAAATATCAGCTTTGATAGATCAGCATACAGTATGACAACTTTATTTTACTGAAAATGTTC